ATGCTTGAAAACAAACAGTTCAAAATTTTTGACGATTGCCGGCCAGTTTACGTCGAATAGTCCGGGTACCGGTTTGGAGTACACGTGTAACATTCAGACAGTGTTGCTTTTTCAGGACGATACGCGATTGTTGTTATGGCCGATATTGCAGTTTATGATGCTGGATCTGCAAGATGCACAGGCGGCAAGTTCATAAATGCTCCTGTGAGAACAGGCTGTATTGGCTCGGGGAATAGTATCGGAGAGAGAGTTAGCGCAGAAGGCTTATATTTGCATGTATGAATAAACAACGATTGATTGGTTCTCCAATTTTATACCTTTCACGACTTGTCTCTTCAGCGTTTTGCCTAGTTCGATTTTTGAACTGCAATTCCCATTCCGACCGTTTGTGCAGATTTTGAAAAAATAGGTGATCTGAATTTAGTATAAAGCTCCTCAGACTGACCGTGTTTGCTGGAGCTTATTAAGGATAAGCTTTGACGCTTTCGAAGAGAATCTGGTTGAGTCAGAAATATTCTGTTTCACAGTCGGCAACAAATTGCTGTAAAATGACTTCGCGGAAACTAACTACAACCTAGAAATGGCCTGCTGCCAACTTCAATTCGGCCTTCCTCGCTCCCCAACGAATTACGATTTCCCGCAGAAGAGCTGAGCTGCCAAATTCTGCAGGTCACCTTCGGTATTTTTAGCGCATTTCGGAGACGTCATAATGATTCAGCGATTTCCTAACAGGAAGACTGGGGCTCGATTCATCTCCCGTCAAAAAACCTGGAGTTTTAGAATGTCATATCTGCCATTGCGCTGGTGATGTTGGAGTTATGTTCCATGCATTTTTTGCTCAGTTGAACCACATCTCGCCGCGACAGTTCGCTGCTTGTTTTTTTCCCCCTTTCATTTTCATGCGTTTTTTACAAATATGCAATGCAGAAAACGCATATTGATGAGGGGTTGTCTATGTGTGTCTGTGTGTCCGTGTGTGCGCCTGTCGCGGTTTTTCATCTCAAGACCTACAAAAGCTGCAGGGGTGAAACTTTGAAAACTTAATCTACATGGACGTACGGGTCCCAGTCCTCAGAATGGGCGCACTTACCCACGTGATACTCAAGTACAGGTCCCAGAAAATTTTTTTCGGGTAAATCGCTAGCTCGAGAATTTGAAAAGCTAGAAAACTGTAAGTTTATGACGATATTCTCCGCTCATTTAAATTTCATTGTACTTAAACTCAGCCCCCTAGGATGCGTGGTACTCACGTACGGGCCCACCAATTTTTTTTTTTGGTTAAGTTGATGGCTCATGAACTTGAGAAGCTGGAAGCTGGAATTTTAAGGGTATGTCCCCCATCCACGTAAGTATTAATGAGCTCAAACCTAGCCCCCGAATATGAGTCATTCCCATGTATGGGTCCGTAAAGATTTTTTCGTGTAAATTGCTAAGTTGGGAATTTGAGAAGCAAGAAAACTGGAATTTTGAAGGGATGTTTCCTGACAGTCCTGATGGCCATTCTGAAATTCTTTTAGCTAAAAGCATCTGCCAGAAAAAACAGTGCCGTTAGCGACAAAAATCTGCGGGGAACTATGCAATAAATGCATCTTCACACGGGCATTCCGTGCGTTGGCCAATTATTTGTTTCTGTTATGATTTTAGGGCGAGCTAAGTTGCAGGTGTTGGAGCGTTTGCAGCATTAATTGGCCCGCATGCTGTGCTTCACTTCGACAAAGGGCTTCGTGCAATACATGTTGATGACCGATGGGATTTCTATAAGCCAAATCAGCCCACCGTTTCGGAATATCCAGTTGTTGACGGGCCAGTGAGCTTGGAATCTTATATTAATTGCGCTGAGCACGTTTACGACTTATATTGCAAAAAAGCTATGAAGCTGAAATACGGAGGTTGCTCGTCGTTTTCGATCATTTGGCATGGATTATTAGTTTGAAATCTTGGGATTCCTAAAAGGACCATATGTTTTTGTACTTTGATATTTCTCAAAACTCGTCCATAGATGGTTTTTATGCGTTTTTGCTGTGCAGCGCAAGACTGACAGACTCACACATGCACAAAAATATACATCCTTTCTGTGTGTATATTTT